CAAGATGTTGATTTAATTGTATAAGTGAAATATTTCTATCATCAATATAAGATAAAAAATTTTCAATTAAATTTTTATTATTATATATTGTATTTATTGATGTTAAAGGTATATGATATTGAAATGTATCTATTGTTGATGATGTTAATATAATAAGACTAAAACGATGATAATATGGTTCAATTAATGTAAAAAATATATTAAGAAATGTTTTTATTAATAATAAATATTCATTATGAGAATCAATAAGTATAAGTAAATCAAATTTTGTTGTTTGACATGATATTTTATATTTATTACAAATTGGTGAAATTAAATCAGATTTATTCAAATTTGATATCCATTGACGTGGAGTATGTAATGAATAATCATTAAAAATTTGATTATCAACACTTTCCCATATAATATCTAGACCAGGAGTATCAGAACAATGTGGAACACTAATAGGTAAATCAATAATTGTTGTTGCATTATTATAATTATCAATTATTGGTCCATTTGCATAATCAGTAGCATAGAAAAATTCAGCTAGAAATTAATAATAATTTTTATGCAATACAACAAGAAAAAAAACAAATTGATTTTTATCCTAGAAAATCTCTTGATTTTTCATAGTTTTCATTATTCAATCGAAATAATCAGTTTATTCTTCCTGAAAACACGATCTAAACAGAGTGTTAAAGCATATATCGGATAGAAATTTGTATCCATTTCCCTTCTCCACAGATACCTTAGTAACGTCCTTTCCCACGCCACTGACCGTGATAGCAGGAGTTCTGTGGATTTGGATAAATCTCCTTTATTTAAAAAAAGAGATTAAACTTACGTTCTAAAGTACTAGTTGTTGTTGATGCAAATTTTTGTTGAATACTCATTGTTGAAGGTAAAAGTGGATCAACACGAATAATTAACCAATGACCATTCGATATTTTTTGTATATATAAATTTCTATCACCTAATGATCGATAGACAGGTGCAGAAAAACATCTATCCGGTGTTTCATAAAATGTATAATCAAATTTTTTTTTTAATGTTGAATTATTGTTTTTATTATTAAATAAAGTTAAAAGTGTACATTCCATTGTTGAACTATCATGAGTTTCAATTAAAGTTGTTCGAAAATTATTTTTAAATAAATTTTCTTCAGATGGATAACATAAACGATGATAATAATTAAATAATTGATTACCATGAATTACATCACCTAATTCTTCATATGTTTCAATATAATTATAATTTATAGGTGATGATACTAAAGCATATTTAGCATAATGAATAAATGCTGAATGAATATATTGAGCTAGATTTTGATTTGATATTTTATTAAAATCAATAACAACTATTCTTAATGGTACTGTTGCAATAAATTTTGCTAATTGTTTATCTTGTTGTTTATAATCATAAAGATATTTTGAACGTGATGTTAATATAACAAGTACATGATTTAATTTATTATAAGATTTTTTTAATGAACGTTTTTTACGATATGAATATGTTGTTATATTAAGAATAGTTTTAATTGCATCTTCATCAGAATAAATTAATGGATATGGTTCAGTATATATTTCATCATCATCATCATTAGTTGAATTATTTGTTGTTAGAGATTGATATTCATCAGTTGTATTGATTATATTTAATGGTAATAAAAATCGACGTTTAAAAATTTTTGTAACAATATTATGAATTGTTTCAGGCCATGAAACAAAAAATTGTTTTGAATTTTCATTATGTTTATTAATTGTATCAATTGAATCATATAAATGTTCAAGGCTTTTTATTGATGTTTTTTTATCAAATGTATTTATAATATGAAATGTATCACTATAATAACTAAGTGAAATATTTGTTTGATTATATAATAACCAAATTAAAGTTTTTGTTAATAATTTCATTTGATTAAATTCATCTTTATTTGTAGTTTCAGTTAAATCGAATAGAAATGCTAATTGATTTGTTTGACAATGTGATGTTGATGAAGGATAATAACATTTCAGATAAACATCTGTATCAAAATAAAAAAAGATATTTTATTATCTAATTATTTTGATTGTCCATAGTGTCGTGAGTAGAGATGTGCGAGACCAAATCTTTCTGGTCCTGGTATCTTATTTTCTAGCAATGGCCTTAATAAATCCACTCTTATCCCAATTCCGATCTGATTTTGATGACTGGAACTAAAGCTGGTTCTGCATAACATTTGTCTATGAAGAATGGATTTTTGATTAAGATAGATTATCCTATATTATTTTTTACGAATATTTACTCTCATACATACAGTAGTCACCAAAAGCTCCGTTACATGTACCAATTCAAGATCGATTGGCTTTAATGCATCGGATTTAGCAAAAAAAAAAGTATACGAGTTTTTCATTTGGACCTCAAAAAAAAGGACTTTTCTGGTTTTTCATTATTTTGAAATGTTAATATTTATTCTTTTATTGACAAATCAAATTCCATATGTCATTACTGTGTCACAAATAAGAGACGCCATTCTACTGGAATTCAGAGACACAGTGACATTTTCATTATCTAGAACGATCTCCGCAGCATCAATATCGATAATCATGACATTATCAGAGAATTTAATTCTCATACTAAGATTATCTAAAGATAACTTCATAAATCAAGTAAACTATCATCGTTTGATATAAAAATTTTTATCGGTGATAGAAGAAGCATTGAGATCTCGATTGAGGGGTCGAGAACTATAAGATTTCTTGCTGATGTTGAAATATTCTCGTCTGAATTTAAAAAAAAAACTGTGTTAGTCGTCAAGGTCATTCACATAAAAGCCGATTAAGTTCTGATTGCTGATTACAACCGGAATTCATTGCATCCTATTGGTCACCAAAATATGAGACTAAAGGATTTGTATTTGGATATTTTTGTTAGCTACTTTAGATGAAAATTTTATTAATAAATTTATTTGATATCAACTCAAATATACGTATAATTGAAATTAAAATCAAATGAAACTGACATAGTTCTCTTAGTCGTATTGCCTATCAAGAATAGTTTATGATATAATCTTAATATCACAACAACAAGAAAAAAAAATAGGCTGATAATTCAATTCATTGAGCAGTACGATTTCAATAGACTTTCTAATATACAAGATCAGCATCGTTCTGAAATCAATGTTTTTCTTTGTTCTAGATTGAAACTAAAACGAACAATTTTCTTGATGTCTTATTGAACATTTAAGACAAAAGATATTATTTACTCAATCCATTGCGTTATATCAATAAGATATTTCTTATTTATAGACAATGACAAAGAAGTTTTTTTCGTAAATTTTATACTGATAAAATTATCTATTTTCTAACAGAGACAATTCGTTCAAACTGATAGTTCTAGATTCAATATATTCTATCTATTAGAGTTACATAAATAATATATAAAATAGCACAAATCGATAACGGTTTTTTATGCACATTTACAACATAAAACTATGACATGCTCTCCGTTTCAAAAATTTCACAGTACGAACTGAAAGAATCAAATAGATAAACGGATAAAAAAAATCTAATGAACTATGTATTACTCGTGCAAAATATCACTAAATTTAATTGGATTTATTTCTTAGTATGCAGATAAGTAATGTTGACAGTTGTCCATAGCTTAATATAACCTTCCTACAGAATAGAAGCTCAGTTTCAAGTTAATAATCTTTCAAATGTAATAGAAGTTCAATCTATTCAATCGAGTCTAAAATAGCATTTTAAACCATTGAATAGATTAGTTCATTGCTTTTTCACTGTTAAGCTGTAATTTCCTTGATATATCTAATTTCGTTTATTCTACATGTTTTCTATTAACAAACAAATGAGTTTGTTGTCTTGAGTCAAAAAAATATCTACGCATATACATTAATAAGAGACAGCTGTTCAGTGATTGACAAATAGGAAAGAGACATGCTATTATATCATTCTGTTGGCCTTCTGTCTGTTATGGGATAATACAGTCTAAAAATAAAACGATGTCTATTATACTTATTAAGTTTACAAAAATATGAATAAAATCTTTAACTGAAAAATGAGACATCTTACAAAGTTAAACAATGGTCGGTTAAAATTATGCGAGAGTTTATCGAACTCAAAAAAACAACAACAATTATCATTGAAACATTCATAAGATCTATTTGATAAAAATAAAAAGCGCTCATTTGATCATACAGAATTTACTTTGTTACATTCTTCAAAATAATTGAAATATGCCATCGAAAAATGAAATAATTTAAAATTCAATATATATATATATACTATTTCTTACTTGATACAGATTTATATGTATAACTGTTATTTTTCTCATGAACAATAACATGTTTCCATCGTTGTAATTTGATTAGTTTTCCAAGTGGATTTTGAAACATTCCAAGTGGCATTGCAAGTAAAGGTTTAGCATTCCATGCATTACACCATTCATATGTACCTAATTTATATGTTGAATTTTTTGTATCATATAGTATCCACCAACGATTATTTGGTGATTGAAATTGATATAAATTTTGATATTTAATTGAATGAAAAATTGGTTTATTCTGACATACATAATCAGTTTTATAGAATAGTTTTTCTTCTATATCATTCGTATGAAATGAAAATAAACCTTCTGGTATATTGAATTCAATTAATCGGCAAAGATTATTCGTTGAAAAAATACCTATTTATTCATTTTATTAATTAGAAAGAAACAAAAAACAAAAAAAAAGAAAACGATACGCGCTTGATTTTTCTTTTTTTACACTTACGAAAAGGTACAAAAATAAGAAGGATAATAACGTTCTTAAGCAACATTCTTAACGATAACTGATCATCTAACGAGTGCTAATATCTTTGGTTATTTTTTCTTTCCTTCGAATGACGGAGAATGTTTATATATTCTGTATAACTTCTGCCACTTAGAATGACATTCATTTTCTAAAGAAATCAAATAATTATATATTCATATTTATACAAGAACAAAACAAAAAACAAAAAACTGCACAGAAAATTGTTTTAACTTCTTGTTATAAAACCAGTTCGTTTTGGTGATGTTGGACGATCTCCTCCACCTCCTCCTCCACCTGACGAAGATTTTGGGTCTTGTAATTTTGTTAAAGTTTTTATTAATGTTAATTTATCTCGTTGTAATACATACATTTGTTGTTCGGCATCTTTTAAATCCTAATGAAGAAGCAAATTATTTTTTACTGAGAACAAAAAAAAAACATATATATAATAGAAAAAACATACTCGTGTAACTCTTTCAAGTTGACGTTGTAAATCAAGAATAATTGAATCTTTATCACGGACAAGTGATTCAAGTATACAAACACGTTCGTCAAGTTGTCGACGCTTTACTGTTGGAGGATCTTCATCAGATGGTTGCTAATCAATAACCATAATAATAATAATAAAATAATAATAATAATATTTTTCATATTACCCGACGTAGAATGAATTCTTCAGGTCGAAATATTATTGATGATGTGTTGGAAAATGTATTCGATGGTGATGGTGATGGTGATGGTGATGATGTCATTACAAAAGGATCTATAGAAAATATAAAATTTTCTGTTTTGAAATTATAACAAAAATATATTTACCCGCACGACTGATTGACAATTTTTCAAATGAATGACGAGAATTTTCCTCGAATGTTGGTCTAATAGATAAATATGATGAGATTGATTCTCTCCCAGATGAATGAGGTACGTAGGGTTCCGGTCGAAAAGCTCGAGAAAATAGTGGGAACTTGGAAGCAGGAATCCGATGACCAGATTTAGCCAATTCCGGTCGAAACCGGCAATGGGATACGATCATCGAATTCCTGCTTCCATGTTTCTACCATTTTGCGGCTGGAAATCGCGTTATTCCTGCGGGTTCTCATCGGAAACCCACGAATACGGGTGCTGTAATCATTGATCTGAGTTTGTTTTTATTTTTGATTTTGAATATGTCTACTTACTGTAGTCGACTAACTTTAAACACCGGTTTTGGAGGACTCTGAAAGGAAAAAATTTTGTAATAATATGTTTAATAAATTTTTTATCGTATACTGTTCGATTATGATCGTAAGATTCAATGGATTCATTACCAGGGATTGTGAGAAATTGACTGCATGCACCTACTTTGTCTTCCTCTTCATCATCAGCATTAAGAGGTGTCTAGAAAAAAAATATATGATTTATTATTATAATATTATCTATAAACTTACATCATTAGTTGCATTAGCTAATGAAACTTCATCTGGTTGAATACCAGTTGATCGACGTGTATCTCTTAAATTTCTTTTCAATTTTGGATTGAGACGTACGACAGATTTATGTTGAGCAGTAGTAGTAGTTGTTGTTGGCGTTGTTAATGAATCATTTGATGTTGTTGCTGATTGAACAAAAACAATAGGTACTGTTTCATGTGATCTACCATTTGTTGAAATAGTCGGCATTAAACGATGATGAAAACGAAGAGTACTTGTACGATCTGTAGTTGCATTTGTTGTTGTAGGATGAGATGGCGTCTCACTTGCGTCGAATGGCGACGTTGATGTTGTCAGGAATGTAGAACGAGACATCTAAAATAAATAAAATACGTATATATATGTATATATATATATATATATATATATATAGATAAAACAAATTACTGAAGGTAAAAAAAACAAGTCAATATCTTAGACAAATTTATTCTCTCCTTCTTTTTTTTTGTTATAATCATCTGTATTGGATTGAATTACATATCTAACAGCGATACTTGTCCTTCGGGTTTTTCTTATATTTATTTTGACAATAATGTTCGTATATAACAATTGTTCAAATACTCTTAATGTATACTTGCTTAGCTCTGACCCATATGCGTGTCTTGTTTATTTATATACAAACTAGATCTGCTATTCTGTCTAACTGTGCCTATTCCTATGGACAATACTATCACAACTACTATATATTCCTACAGCTATTACCATTGGTGTATGCGATGATTATTATAATCGTGCGAGGCGTGGGTTGACAGAATGCGTGTGTATACAAGAAAGAAAGTCGAAATAATATATTTACTCGTCAACACTAGAAAAACAAAAACTTCTACAAAAAAAAAAAACTAGAGAGAGTTACTGTGTTATTCTTTGATATCATAGACAAACGATACAGTGACTCAAGGTTTTTTTATCACAAGAGAAATTCGTTAAATGCATAAATATATATATATATATCTACACACAGACAAAGGATTTGTCTATTAATTGTATATAAGACAAAAAAGAAAACAAGTTAGAGAGATAGAAATAAAAAGAAAAATATATAAATGTATTTTGTTGTTCTTTTCTTTTCTTTTTTTTGTTCGTTCTCTATATTGCGATGATACATGTAAACTAGAAAAAAAACTATTAAAGATAGATCCTATGTTACTGTCATTCCTTCGAGATTTGTCGTTATCGTTGCTGTCGGCAATATCAACAACAATAACAGCAGTCTAATTGCGCGTGTCTATGTATGTGTGTTAGCTATACAAGACAAAAAAAAGCAGTTTGAATCGTAATCAACAAAGCCAACGACAACGAAGAAAATCTTGTCTGTGTGCATATTCTCGTCCATATCCAATACGGACAAATCAGCTTTAGACGATGACAACATAATGAAATTGCTCAGTGCATATATATATGTATAATCAAGATAGACGATGATGGTATTCCATAGTCGTTTCTACTCGTATTGCACAAGATGAATAGAATGAAATGCGATATATCGTCTAAATAAAAAACACAGTAAGAAAACAAAGAAAAAGAAAGGACAGAATTTAATACTCAACAAGAATAATAAGAGTGTTAGTAGAAATATTCTAATAGTTAAACGTACATAAAAAAAAATACTAAGTTATTAATCAATCATAGATTATCTTATTCAGAATATCTGATGGAAATCTATTTACGAAGATCTATGTTAATAAATGACAAGTCATGATAGTAACTTTATTAATATATCAAGAAATTATTGATTATACTCAAATGTATTCTTTTATACTGACGCAAATAAGAAAATTTAGGTCGTTTTGGTTGATAAAAAAACTGTATTTGGCATTGGTCCGTAATAGCACACAAATGGAGTAACAATTGTTTCTAAACATGTTTCTTATCATTGACTATATATTACAATTATAATATAAGCAATGTTAAATTTCTATAGAAATCCATTTATATATTTAATATTACTGGTATAAAATAGAATTTAATAAGATGGATTAAGTTTTATTAGAAAGAAAAAACTTTCGAAGATTTTCTTTTTCTTAGTAAAACTTTTTATTGATATCTTTAGTTGTTGGAAGTATTAAACAGTGCAAGTCATTTCTATTTATTATTGACTGAAAAAAAAAGCTTGTTAGCACAACCCGTTTGGGACTGAAATATGGAACTCACATATGTTCTTCAGCATCATTAAACTAATACAAGATAGGTGAAGTGAAAAATCCCTCACAGACTATAATTCTGTTCGAAGATAATCGATCAGCAAAGTAAAGATCGATCTTATTTATTTCTGCATTTCGAACAGAAATATTTTTCTTATACGGGCACCCAATTTTTTGTTGCATCATTGCTATTTGCTCATTATTTTTCATTTTCGAATTTTGTTTCTCTTAATTTAACATTGTTATCATTATAAGTATTGAATTAGATGACAAATAAGGTTTTTGTAAATATTCATTATATCTACGGCAGCAACTCTTAACACACTATTATATACTTCGATTAACTCACAAAAAACTGATATTGATTATTGTTTTAAATTATAACTTGATCAATTCACGCTTTTTATCTTGATCAAATGACAGCCTTGGCATAGGGAAGGAGACTTCTAAGGTCTGTAATGAAGGTCGTTGTTACGTGTCTGTGATGGAGAAGAGAAGGAAAGAGTTTAAATATAACCAAGGCTAACATCCATCTCATTGTAGTTTTATCAAAAGATAAATATTTAAAAAAACATCCTGTAATTAAGATTAACACTCAATTAAACTAGCAATCCAAAACTAGATGCGTATTTTTTTTTAGAATGGTTATGCATACAACAGATCCAGACAGAGCTGACTCTTTGTAGATCCTGCCAGCCCGTAACAGGTTGATACTCTTTCCAGCTTGCTTGTCCTGGTAATCCTATTTCTTTGGTCTTGCCTGCCTGCCTTTTTTTTCCATGTAGATACCATGATATTAATAGAATGAAATGAAGTATTAACCTTCATTTGAGATGACTACAGTAAAAGTTCTCTATGGTGAATACTGAAAAGTATTCATTATTTGGAGGTCAACATTTATTTTTACAGAAATGTATTTCTATTTTTCTATATGCAAGTCAATCAGAACTAATTCATGTCTCGTATCTTTTCTTTTTATTCTTAGAATTATACTAGGTCATGTATGAATAGGAATAGAACAAAAGAAAAGCACTCACTATAAGGAGATGTTCGATAAAAATTTAGAGTATTCACTATCCCTGAGATATCCACATTACACCGAAAAATTTTCACTAGTGAACCCCTCCTTATTCTGAACAATGAAAACACTTTTGCGGTTCTTCCTTCTATTATAATCTTTCTACGGTAAATACAAATACAACAGTTTTATTTTTGAACTCTTTCTTATGCACTATGAATATACAGGGATATCCAAAAGTCATTTCACCGAGAAAAAAATTGAATATCACCGTTATATTTTGACCAAATAGGCTCACTTTTTTTACCTATTGATAAGGTTATGTTGACATTTTATAGACGACAAAAAATGTTTTTGAAGTGGTATTGGTGACTTCAATGAAATACAGTCACCTTTTACCACTTGTAAAAAAACAATATATCCTCGTGGGCAAAATAAACGTCACTTTCATTAACTATTTAGTCTCATATTTATACCACAGGTGTATGTTTTGGTTTTCAGTGTACTCTGAAATTTTAGCGATGAATATTGAGAAATCTGTTGAGAAAACTGCAAATGTGTTACATGTACTCTCATATGGCTGGAACCAAAATTCGTTATAATACTTATTTCGTTATCATTTATTTCTGTATTTAAATTTTTGAATGATATTTAGTTGTCAGTTGTTGAGATAGTTTGAAGATGAGAATATCTTTGACTTTTCAAAATTTAAAGTAAACCAGAAGTAATAGCAAGGTAATTATCACAAGAAGATTTCTTCTGAACCACATAACAACATACAATACATATTGACAGTTTTTCCAAGAATTTATCATTGTTTAGAATTGGAATTTTCAGAGCACAATGTGTAACAAAACATGAGTCTTTGATGTAAATATGAGACCAAACAACAATAGGATGGAAATTTACTTAAAAAAAATAGTTGCGTCATTGATTTTGACCATTGGGATACATCAGTGTTTTTTTCAGAACTCCTGAATTAGTATTTAGGTCAACGGTGACACTTCAAACAGTTTTTGTCAACGTTTTTCTTATGAATATAAATTATAAACAAACCTTTATCAATGGTGAAAAAATTAGCCCATTTGGTCAAAACATAGCAATGTCATGGAATTTTTTCTCGGGATAGAGACTTTTGAGCAAGAGGAGAATACGATAGTTTTGTACTTTGAAATTTCTAAAACATCTCAAAGTAGGAAAGGGAAGTTACTATTACGTTACCACGTAATCGGATGGCGAAAAATTCATGGATTTGATATTTTCGTCAAGAACTAGCTATTGAGAGAAAATCACAATGTCTTATAAAGTTTGATCCAAAGTTTTCAAGGTTGAAAAATCCAAATCTGTAATCGTTTTCTCAAAAATTCCACATTTGATTTTTCAGTTAAGTTTCCTCGATCCCGAAAAGCTTTGATCAAAGTTTATAGAAAATCGTAATTTTCCTACAATAGGTATGCCCTAGCAAAGAAATCAAATCTAGAAGTTTTTGCTCCTCCATTACCCGATAACTAGTAGTAGCACTGTTAACGTTACTTAGTAATGCGACGGTAACTTATCTCTTCTAGATATCTCCCAAAAATTTACTAAACTCACTCCAAGGTAGTCCTGAAAAAGTTATAAAGACCATCCTTGGATCGACTCTGGATAGTTGCATGAATCATTTCTAGATAGTCGGGAAAAGGTTAGCGGTCCTTCCTCAAGTAGCAATGACAGTTATCAGTAGGAAGCTCATCAAACTCGGTTCAATCATATCACAGAACTGATCGATTCACAGAGTCTGGTTTCGATAAGAAGATCATTTCGAGCAATTCTCGTGACAGGACTCAATCTGTTCGAACAGATCCTTAGATCAGAACTAGAACTGATCTTGTCGATCTCTAGATATAAGTAGAAATTTTAACTGCAAAAGACACAGAAGTACATTGAAGTATCATGTTTTCCTCTTGTTTTTGTGCCATCCTGTATACATTTATGCATGACTCGATTAGTGTACATGTGAAGAATAGAATGCTATTCTGAGACAAACTTACATTGCAAGAAAAAATTGAATGAATTAATGAGTTAGAATCAAACTTAATGGGTAACGATCTTACTTCAAATGAAGAAAGACAAATAACATTACAGAATTTAAAGAAAAACTAAATATAGTGTTATAATTGAAAGATTTTTTCAATTCAAATCATTTAGAAAAAAAAACAGATGACCAAGAACATAGATGGTCAAGAATTTAACTAGAACTATTGTAAATCATTTTTGGAGAATACTTTCAAACATCTGTGGTCGAAATTTTAGCCCATTCAGACAAAGTTAGAACGAGGTCGCAAGCAAGCTCAATATGATCCTATGAAAAACTAGGAATTTCTGAAAAAATCATGAAAACCTTGTTTACAAGTTTTTCCTCGGACACGTATCTCCTTATTTTAGGTCCTCTGTCTGTAATGAGAATTTCATGAGGATCAGGTGTACTCTTTTCGAGAACCAGAAATGGTCAAAAAGAAGACGAGTGCCTTTAATCTCAAATCTTTATCTAATGCATCATTTTTGAATGTCATCGTTGAAATTAATAACTTTGTTGCATCTATTTGCTAGAAATATATTCAATTGATGAGCTAAACCGTTGATATCAAAGAAAAAAATACACTGAGCAGACTCTGATGTATACTGTATTCGTTTGATAGTTAACATACATCCCCTTTTTTTTTTATTTATTAATAATAAAAAATCGTCGTTAAATTTAACTAAAATTTTCATTAATTATCTATCATTATCTAAAGCCTTTGTTCAAATCGCTAGAAATACGAAAAAAAAAACGTAATTACAATTAGATTGTACTGAAAAGTTCTGATTTATATTGATGACATTCCAATAGTAAATGCCAATTCCGGTATATTTTGTGCTGTTGAATCATGATAACAAACAAAAAATTCATGTTCAATAGGTTGTACACATTTTTTTGCTACAATCCAAAAATTAAATAAATTTGCATCTTTTTTTTTCTTATTATCTGGATCTGTTTGTAAAGAAAATTGACAACCAATTTCATAATATTTGGGACGAATTTTTGTACTAAATAAATTTTTTACATTTAATTTAGGTTGTTTAGAAAAATGTTTTCGTCGTATATAAATACATGTTTGTTGAATAGTTTCAAATAAAAGACGATCAATTAATGTTGTTTGTGTTAATTTATCAAGTGTAAAATAAGGTGCAATAAGTAAACCACGAATTGATTGAAAATCAAGATAATAAAATATTGTTGAATAATTACCTGGATGTAATCGATATGTTGATAAATTTGAATGAAGATTTTTATTTTGTTGTTCATCCAGTGATAAAGTTGATGACATAAATGATTGACGACTACTTTTATATAATTCATCTTGAGATTCAGGTTGACTTACTAATTGTGTTATTCGAAGATCAGTTTGTGATTGATCAGGATAATGAGAGGATGTTAATGATATTGTATCAGCAATATTTGATTCATATGTATTCGATTTATTTGATTGACTGAATCCTATTAAAAAATAAAAAACAAGGAATTTTATGCATTTCATGCTTTAAATTCTGTTCTGATGGCAATGAGTTATATAGCACACACACATACATATTGAGAAATCATTAGAATACAGCAAAGATTTTTCTTTTTATAATTACCATTCAATGCATCATACTTTCATTCTTTATCTATTATCTTGTACAGTTAATATTTTCTATTTGAATATTAAATATTAAATGTAAGTTTTTACTAGTGAAGAAATATATTAGAGATTATTGTTAGATAGAAATTTTCTTCATGTTTAATGATCATTAGGACTGGGCGAATACGGAATTTCTTAAGTACGACTACTATCAGAGCCATACTCGAAATTTATACTGTCCTAAATATTGATTACAGGAATTTCGACCCACGAAATATTCGGCTCGTAATCTCATTGATCCCCAAAATTTAAAAAAGCCTAATTTGCTTAATTAGTTGCGAGATATCGTGGTGCTAAGCAGGACGACATAATACTTAGAATGTGTATCCTTCTTACATTAGGAGTTGCCAATCACACATCATGTATTCACATCCGGGACTGATGAATCAGCGTCTGCACACCCACACCAGAATTTGATTTCGCATTTTGAATATTTTCCAAAAAATAGAATATCTATTATCATTTTTCTTCTTTACAATAAATTGTTCTCTCATCCTTATGTCAATTTTACTTATAGCCTTAACTCTGTCTATAGACTAACGGCATGTATGTAATTACGAAAAAATTAAGCATTATTCGAGGTATCCCATGTCATTTGAACCGCTCGAAAACGCGGTTCTTCTGCTCAAATTTGTTTTTGTATCTCAGTGCATGAATACTTTTTAAGTGTCAGAAAAATGTTACATATCAGTCGAAATCGCACCTCAGTATTATGGTGACGTAGTCAAGCCACCTGTACCAGCTACATTGGCTGTTTTCGTCTAGTTTCCGAGTTTAGTTATTTATTAAAGATGTTGCCAAAAAAATAGTCATCAGTTAGAAGGTTTAAGTGGTAGGAAAAAGTGTAGCACCATCTGACATTATCGACTGTGGCACATTAGAATCGACTTTTTTCAGTCGAAATTGATCTCTTCAAGATTGAAGATATGAATTTAATAGACAATATATAAAAAGAGGAAAAAGTAGTAAACCGCTTGAACTGCCATCAATCATCGATTTTAATGAAAAATTGGCGATATACGTAACTAGATTTCATATTACACACATACTCCCTGCAGTTAACAGACACTGTCGACTGACTTAAATATGTGACTAGACAGTGACTCTATAGTCGTCGTTGTTTAAATGATCTTCCAAATAACAGTGTAGATTTTCTCCTTTTTGTAGAACCTAGATTGATTTTCTATGAAATTCGAATTATTTTTCAAACATCTTTAACCCTTTAGAGACGGTTGGCCCCCTAAGGGGCCATGGTGATTCTCTAGCATTTCAAAACACACAGATTCCTATATGAGATTAGTTTTCGTGAAAGCATTTATCAGAGAGTTTTTTGGTATAATTTGGATTGTAATTAGGTTATTTTATCCAGATATCCAGTAATAGATAATAAGTTCTTTTAGAATATAGAAATGTTGATTGATTTATGATGAAATATACAGAAAAAAAACCGTTCCCAAAGGGTTAAAAAGATTTTTCGTGATTATATTCGGAATTAGCATGATCGATATGCTATAATTCACTAGCCTCGGTTACAAAAGAGACTGATCAATTGAAAACCTTTCATCATGAGATATATTTTATTATTTCATTTCATTTCTAATTTTTGCATACCTCCTATTAATGGTAATGAAATTGTACGTTTTAATTGTTTTTTAACAAATGCTACTGGTGATGATACAATCCATGGTAATGAATTTGTTATTGTTTTTGGAAGAATTGAATATATATCATTTAAAGTTAATTTTATCTGTTGAATTAATTCATGATCAGGTGGTATACTAAAGTAATTAATCTTTATACAAACAATTTAATATTTATTTTTATCTTACTTAAAATCATTTTTTTCATATTCAGTTTGAATAAGAACAGCTAAAGTTAATTCACCTTGACTACAAACAATTAAAAATGAACGTTGTTTAGATTCATAATCTGATAGAAAAATTTCTTTAAATAATAATAAATGCCATGTATCATAATAAAATTGTGACATATTTAAATGTCCATAATGAATAAGAAAACGATAAATATCAATTGTTGTTTCATTTGATAAATGACTTATTAAAAGATGAATACGATGAAATAAAATTGAACCATTTAAAAAAAATATTCGTCGATAACGATTTATAATAAAATCATTTTCATTTGAACATTGATTAAAATTTTGACATTCTAATTGATTTAATAAATAATTAATATTATATAATAATTGTTGATCATTTAAATTTAATTTTGGACATGTACCATAATCATTAAATTGTGCAGGTAAAAATTCATCAAGTAGACGAACATTTTTTAATATTGGCGAAGAATTTATTGATGATGATGATGATGATAAACAATGAAGACGATAAAAAAATATATCAAAAAAATATTCAATCGATTCTTGATAGTAGAATAATCCACGATATATTGAACCAAATAAAAAAGTTATTAAACGCATCATATGTCGAGTATGTTGTTCAAGTAAACACATATGTAAATTTTTAATAGGTGGATATATAATAATTAAATAATGAATATTATCATCACTTGTTACACATACAGGAATAATTTGTTCAGCTAATTTGATTGATATACTGAAAAAATAAAAGAAGATTTATTCATAGATCAATATTTTAAATCATGATTCATATATTTTAATAAAAATGTTATTGAGCCATCAATAGATAAAGAAATTTCATTAGGAGAAGAATAAAGTAAGTACTCGTCATGTTTTATTGTTTCTTTTATCTTTGAAAAATTTCGAAATCGAATATATTTCTGATCGAAATAAATGGAAAATATCGTTTCTTTGTATTCATCTTTTGATACAACGTAAGTTAACTTAGATTATATCAAGGATGAATACAAAGAAAAGATGTGTTCTATTTATTTTGATCAGGGGAATATATTCTTCTTTGAAAGAAACCACCATTTACCATTTGATAGATATCAGTATTCATACTATCATACAAATATCTATTGAATCTATCAATGTAAAGCGAAGGAAGAATACAACGATGACGCAAAGTCATTATTTTATATACGTTAAAGTAGACGAACAACACAATGAAAAATATTTCATAAACATTAAATCTATTCATTAATCATGCTGATTAATCAAGAAAGTCATTTTAAGTCTGATGCATCATGGGAAGCTAAATTATAGATGAAATGAAGGCTAACTTTTAATTCTATTTATTAACATTTGATTTTTAAGTATTGAGGTAAGTCTCATGAATGTTATTATATAATAAAAATCGCAATTTATTATTTGTGCGATAGAAATAAATTTATTCTTAAAAGAAAATAAATAATCACTCTCATTTATCGTTTCTAATTAAATAAAAATTTTTTACAAACCTTCGAAGTAAACTATCATGTTCATTCATGTCGTACATAAGTTGTGTTAATGTTGGAAAAACACCACCAGCAGCAAAAAATATATCTTTTTGTGCTGGTTGTTGATATAATAATTTGAAACCTTGATTTACTCTTTTTTCATAATAAAGTATTGCATGTATACAATCAATTTGTTCTGGTATAGAGAGTTTTTTTTCTTCTATTGATGGTAACATAATTGGTGATTGTAAAGATGAAGAAAATGTTGAATTATAATTATCTGGATGACGAATTGTAAGACGAAGTTTACGAGATGAGTGATATTTTGGTAATATATCATTAATATTGATCCAATTTATAGGTGTTTCATTTATTGCTAAAAGCCAATCGCCAACTTTAATACGACGATGACGTCGTTCAACAACTCCACGTACAAGAACTGGTGGTAGAATTGTTGATGATGATGTTGAAGAACTTGTATCAGGAAAAATACCGAGTACAGCTTCACATAAACTTGTATGAATAGATGAATTAAATGATGATGCTGGACGACAACGAAAATGTACATGTTCCACATTTGATAAATCTTGTCGATAGGATAGATGTGCAAATGAGGTATCAAAATTAATTATCTCATTGTTTGTCGTTGTTGTCGGATCGATTGTAAATGGAATTTGTATTTCAGATGAATTCACACTTGAAACATCCGATAAAAGATTTTCAAGTCGATGAAATACAAATGACCGTGAAAGCACCTTTGTGTCAGCAGTTGTTGACATTTTTATTGAAAATATATGCAATTGTTCAATGAATCAGTTCCACTTTTTTGTTTTACTTATCCATAAATCCCATCGTTGTCTTGACGATGATTGAATAGATTTCATTACAAAAATTTTCAGTTTATTTTAATAATTAAAACGTAAATCTTTGTTATTATTTATTTATTTTATAGTGAAGCTCATTAAAATAAGTATCCAATAGATGTCACTATAATCTTGCTTAATGAATCTTTCTCATTGTGGAAAAAGTCTTCCTTTCTGAAATTGTTTTTTTCATACCTTACGAATTCGATTATCATAACCGATTGTATATTGAAATCAAGAAAGAATAAATATATGTGTTGTATTAATGTGCTTCATAGCACAAATTAACCTTGATTCGTCTGTATTTTTTTCTATGTCGATATAAACTCTATTTTTGTACGTCATTCTAGACGACGATATGTAATTGTATGATCGATGTGTTTATGTATGGAACGATAAAAAACAAAAAGATTTAAATAAATAAAAGATGAACTATTTTCCTATAAAGAATTGATTGATAAGTGAATTGGAATTATTCGTCAATATGAATTGAAGAAGTTTTTGTTTTAATGATAACCGATAGCCATCAGACCCTAACAGTAGTGTCATGCAAGCGGGCCGGGTATTAAAAAGAGAAAGATAGAAAATAAAATAAGATCCGAGAACAATAACAATGAAATAAACTCGATGCAGACCTTTAATGGCATACTCCTTCTACAATCAATCTTTTCTAAATTCATTAATATTTGCTTGTTCGAATAAAAGTTCACCATCACCTGAATCAGATAGTGTAGGTGAATAGTTAGTCCACTATTTACGATAACCATCTTCTAAAGACATCTTATCTCAGACAAACGCAAAAAAAGAATCAGACAATTGGAGACAATATAAAACTCTTCGTCAGGAGTTATAGTACGAGATCCGGACAGTTGCTTACTGGGATACTTGCTTGCAGAACTACCTCGATATGGATGTATGAATAGGACACAAAAATAATCTTTAAGTAGAACAACGAACAATAAAGCATAGGTGAGAATCGAAAAAATTCCATATGAGCAACAAACCTCTGATGTATTCTAATTAATTCTTTATGTTCGGATGTGAATTTTGCACCAAATCTTGTAGCGGTTTACTCAAAAATTTGTTTATTCACTTTGACGATCTACGACCTGCCATAAAGAGTGAAGGTGAAAGTAAATGAGCGAAAGCCTTCTCTTCCCCTTCCTCAGCCATCCATGCCACTCTTAATTAGAATCCCACCTCGGGTCGGGTTTTAATACCAACAGGTCCTCGTTTGAGTAGGATAGTTTGGACGATTTTTCTGTACTGTCGATTCAAAGTATGTGTCACACAGTCGCATCGAACCGAACTAGCCATGTGAGGTAGTCCCTGAAGTTGATATGCGTGGTGGTGAACTCGTCAGATTTTAACACTCGACCCGACGGAGGACTCTACTACTTAATGCCATTAAATAGACATACGATTTACGAGCAAGTGTCTGGCGAGTAACTGTCTTAAACCATATAGTACAAGTGTGATGGATCGTCTCACTGTTTCTGTATAGTAAATAAGTATAGAACAAATAACCAAGTAAACAAAGGTAGTATATAAGACTGCAATAGAAATGAAGTGCCCATGATTCGAAAGGTATTAACCACTGCAATTCTTTGTCGAATCTTAATCAGTATTATATTAATCATGGTACTTCAACCAACGTTCAAAGTTATCCAATACCCAAGATACTGAAATTTAGATGCCCACTGAATTTTTCTCTTTGCAATTGCTGTTTCAAAATTTGAATTTTCCATTACATGAGCTAGCTCAAGTGTTTCAGGTTTATCAAGATTTATTGATATTTAAAAGTTTTTGATTTAACGTTTTTCTTTTTCGATAATCAAACGAAGGACTTAAGAGAAGAATAATAACAAATTTGTATTATATTTCGTGCGACAAATAGAATTCAGACAAACTTGACAGGGATTCTCACTATCATTCAATTCTCTTTATATCTGCATCTTCCACAAATACATTTGAGATATAAGACTGTTCGAATAATTTCGGCACAATCCTTCTTATTCACGTTCGCTTTTCATTGAAATACTCACAATACCGATGGTGAAATTTTCTGTTTTTTTTCTTGTTGCTAGTAGTGGTTGTACGCACTTGCTGCTTTTTAAATCCTGTTGATTCATAACTATTCGATTTAAATATAAGTATAGAAAAACAAAGGAAAGGTTTGAGTGTCAAAAAGTCAAACTATCATTTGTTTTATTCTTAATTAATCGATATACAGTAAAACTCTTATTTACTAGGAAAACAAAAGAAAATTTTAAAATCGATTTGTTGCTTCATATCCATCAACAATAATTACATATTAACAAGAACAAACAACATGATAGAAACCCTATGATCGAATTAATGTATCTGATGGATGAATAACAATATTACTTATTCAAAAGTAAAAACCTACTCCTTAATTTTAAATTGTTTTTCTAAAGAAAATCATTCCTCTTTCAGTTTAGCAGCAAAGAAGTTTTCAATTGTAGGACTTTTATCTACTAATCCCATGTATCGACAAAACATTTTGAGAGAATATTTCTTAATTTTTGAAGTCAAAAGTATTTTCACAGGAATCGAACGATAAGAGCTCGCTCCTTAGGAATTTTTCGAGTACAATAAAAATGATAATATCGACGAAAACAAAAATTGGCTTTTGACAGAAAATAAGTCATGTGCTACTGATACTGTTTGTTCAGATTGAATCATATATGCATATTTTATTTACTACCATCAATATTCAACTGAAAAATTGATTATATATCACCAAATCAATCATGTGAAATCGAAATTTATTTTCAATTCTTTTTTCTTAATAAAGAATTTTGTTTCAATTGATAATAATACTCGTTTAAAAGTTTCAATTCGATATTAGTGATTTAATTTCAATAGAAATATTCATTCGACGGGATAGAAATCAAATTTTATGAATACTTTTTAATTTTCTATACAATTATTTGGCTTTGTCTTAATGAGTTTTTATATAATGACAGTACAGCCGCATTCAATAGACTTGTTGATCTTGTGTTTCCAAGAAAATGAATATGTTCATTTGAATAATACACTCTAATCAATTTTCAAAAGTCGTACGAAAAAATAATTCTATGATTTATGATTCACATTAATTGCTTTTGTTTCTTCGATGATGACGATGATCATGATGATGAATAGAAATTTCTTCTGATCAGAAAAAAAGAAAGAAAAGAATATGTATTGTCCATAAACCCAGGTGAAACAAGCCCGGTCGTAAACGGCCGTTTTTGATCGTATTTGACCCGTTTAGTATGCGCCGTATTACGGCCGTATATCGCCGTGTCGTAAACGATCGAATACGGGATTTTCCAACCGTTTTTCACCGTTTCTAATCGTATACGGCACGGTGATATACGGTCGTATTACGGCGCATACCAAACGGGTCAAATACGGGCAGTTTACGGGCGTATCCTTATCATTAACGCTCGTTTACGACCCGCTCACGGTCATCGTAATGCTGGACCTGGGAAGGACTGTATATGAACAAAGGACAAGTATTCACATCCATGCACATGAAAAACGATGAAATTAATTCGTGTCTCATCATTTCAATTAATCATGTGATGATTAATCAAATCAATTATATTCGAATGTGTACATCATCGTCAATTATTGTTCGTCAAATTGATATCAACATCATTAGAATGTCTGTGATTGGTAATGTGTATGTTTGAACACATATATATAAGAAACACATTTTCACCGGTATTCTCATACAATTCGATCGAACAAATCATGAGCATGCTCAATAAAGATAAAACATGACACTCACATGATTTATTTTTCACGGATTACAATTTTTTACATTACTTACAATGATTAGTATTATTTTACATTATGATTTTCCATGAATGACATACAGTTATCAATTTATAATTATTTACAATGCTACGTATGAGTTTATAATGTATGAAAATGTATACATTTATAATGAAATTTATTACATAATGTTATGTTAAACCTTTGAATTCTATAGTAGGAAAAAGAAATCTATACATGTTTAATAATTATTATGTAATTTACTGAAATATAGCAATAAAGAATGTTCAACGATGTGGATGTGGTGGGTGTCGAGTTTGTAGATATGAGTGTGTAGTTGTGCGCACGTGAATCCGTATGTGAGCATGTTGGTTTTTATCTGGGCGTGCCAGTGTCCAGTAGAAATAATTTGGGACTCAAAGGATTAAAATACATTAATTTCCGATGATATTTATTGATCGATATTATATAATGATGCATTTTTTTAGAACGAAATCTATTGATTGGTGTTATTAAAATTCATTTCTGTACAATTCAATAAATGCATTATATTACAACGAAATTTATCAATTTTATGATGTATTAAAACGTTTTGATTTAGAATGTATTATTTTAAAATGAAATTTGTAAGCTTATGATGCATTAAAATGTATTAATTTACTATGAAATTTATTATATGGTGTTAAATTCATTACTTACAATGATATTTATTGAAGGATATTATATAAAGGTGCATTATATTACAATGAAATTTATCAGTTTATGATGCATCAAAATGTATCAATTTACAATGAAGTTTATTATATGATATTATGTTAAAATTCATTAATTTACAATGATATTTAATAAATCATATTATATTAAAATGTATTATTTTGGAATGAAATTTATTGAATGATGTTATTTAAATTCATTGCTTTACAATGCATTAATTTATAATGAAATTTATTCATTCATTCAATGATGTTATGTTATGATTCATATTTTTTTACAATGTTTTTGATTTCAATGATAATATATGTTAGGATATATTGATTTATGATAGAAATTTATTCTATGATGTTTTTAGAATTCATCTGTTTTTTTTATGAATTATATGAAATTATAAAAAACATGAGAATGTTAAA